GTACTGTATGATTTACATATACAGTAAAAACCCGCAACTAAGGACCTGGTTTTTAAGAACCTGTCAGGTTAAAATTTAGCCTAACCTATTTGAAAGAGTTTCTTATTTTGTAAAATCTCTTTAAAAATTCTTTACACTTGCACAAGTAAGATAAGTCAGTCAGGGTTGAGGGTTGGTTCAGGGTGAGTCCTCTTTGGAGACAAACAGTAGGTGCACTCTCCTCCTCCGCAGTGACTCCCGCTGTGTATCACGATAAAAATAGCAACAATTGAAAAATAGAAAGCGCACAGGGGACGATGGGAAGGGGGAAAAGGCGGGAACCTCTGCCATCAAATGTATTCAAGATGGCACCGGATCCTATCTTCTCTCTTCTCTCTTTCCCCCCTTCCACTCGTGCCCCGTGCACTTCCTTTTTCCTTCTCCCCAGCCTCCCTATAATGCAAAGAGGCCTCTGTAGGGGAGAGAGCAGTAGGTGCCTTACACTCCAACTACAATGTAATGGTATGCAGGGTTACATAAGCAATGAGCTGAATACCATTAAATACTTTTCGCTAGAAGGTTTTTTTTTCAGAAAATAAGAACTAATAAGAACCTGTTTAGGCTAACTTGGGGAAAATGCAGGTTCCTAGGCAAGGGCTTTTGCTGTAGTTTTGTTTCATGTTTATTTTTCATGTTTCTCTCGCTCTGGCCACAACATTCCTGTAGCTTCAATGCCCTTGTTGTTTACCTAACAGTGATGGTTGCCTCCTGTCTCATTTTCCTATTTTTATGGGAAGTTTCGGCAAATTATTTATGTGTCAATGTGCTAATAATAGCAGATGTTTCAATTGTAAATCATTTTAATAATTTTGGAATAATTGTGTGTAGGACCATCTTCCTGAACTGACGTTTGAGGATGTTAAAAATGTTACGTGGAACTGCAGTAATTATCCTCAGACGCCACAGGTATGTTTTTCAGATTTAATGTTTTTAAGGGATCCCTGGATTTTTTTTTTACGAAATATACTCTGACTCATTATGTAAACATACCCATACTTTTACCCATCCTAAAAGCTTTAGAAACTTGGGAAATACATGCAAATTTTCTGATTCATACATGTATAAATACTAAATAGCTTCTGTTCATTACTATGAATTATTGTTACTCTATGTAATGATAAAAGAGGTACCTACAGTGTATTTGTAGTCATGATACTACTGTTTAATATTAACAAACTGCTCTACTGATTAGGACTGCTTGAGACTGTGTAGTGTTGTTTCTCGCGTAGTTTCAATTTGAAAATCTGTAAATAATAATTTTTCCTGAAGTATCTAATACTCCTAACAAAAAGCATGTGAAAAAGACCTCTCAAAATGCAGATTTCAGACTGCATGAGAGAGCTATTTTTTTCAAAATGGGCAGTTGACTGCCCTTGGTAAAAAAAATGGTCGAAGCATGTATAGTACTTCCAGTAAACCCTGGGGCACAGTTGTTTCCTTTCCTTTATTCAGTTTGGTTTAACTGTGGTGGTAGCCTGAGTATCAGGCCTTCCTAAGGGGCTAGGGGAGAGGAGATTTTAGATGGGGGAGGGGGGAGGGGGAGAAGAGAAAGGAAGGCCTGACACAAAACCATTCAGCAAATCATGTGACACATCCAAAATCTGGATGTGGTAGTGATTGGATAACACACAATACCCACTGACGTCAACGACCACATGAGCGATCGGCAAGGAGAAACCACTGAAATTTTTCAAAGATGTTTTGATTTCATATTACCGGTATGTGATACTTTTATGGACAGAGACGCAGAGAGGAATTCAAAGAGGCTCTAGAGGGTGCTCTCAAGTTCTTTCCTGGAATAAAAATAAAACCCGAGCAAGAAGTGTGTTTTCAAGGCCTCGTAGTTTAAAGGAAAGATGTACTCGGAGTATGGAAAAGCCTCATATACCAGCTTCTGCCGACACTATGTCCGAGTATTGGTTTCACAAGACCGGGACAAAGAAGAAGAAATCAGTGTTTCAGATATCTAAGTTCTGATTTACAACATCCTGCCGTTAAAAGGGTATTGTTACTGTAAATCAAAATAGAGCGAGGTAGCCATGTATTGAGATAACCGACAGCACCAATGCTTTTAAAATGCTTGACTTTGCTAGTGGCGGTTACGATAGCGTACGTGATTGGAATTCGTTCACTTCCTGTTCCAAAATTTTCTCACTTTTGAAATGTCTTAAGCTCAAGCGGGTGCCATCATATTTCGCCAACGGGATTGAACTTTGCTATAGGCTCTCACTTCTTTTTGAACTTGTAACAGCTTTCACGAGCTCTCTGTGAAGTGGTGGAATTTGCTGCTGCTTGATAATTTCTAGGCATAGGTGTTTCACCATCGCACCTTCCTATTTATTCTTGCAGCTCCTCTCAACCACCCGAGAATACGAGGGATAACATTAGCTTTTTAGCTGCCAGACAAGCGCCTGATGTAACTCTGTAAACAAAAGCAATTTACAATTTTCCGGGCAAACGTTTATTTACAAACAGAGCGTTGGCGATCTTACACTAGCACAATTTCTAAAACATGTATAATTCCTCAAAAACACGTATTCGAAAACGCCTCATTAAAGGTTTCAGAAAAAAGCGAAATCGTAACAACACAAGCACCGGAGCTCGGCCAGACCGTAAAGTGAGATTTATTTTAGGCGAGCTTTTTGACACGTGAAGCTGACAACCCAATGACCGGAAGTGATTTTGATTGGATGATATCGAATCATGCTGTGTGGGGGTGGAAGGCTCCAGTAAAAGCATCTGTGTCAGGCGTTTCTCTCCTTCAGCTCTCTCCCTTTTTCGCTTCCATCTTTCCCCTTTTCCCCAGAAACGCCTGATACTCAGGCTACTGTGGTGGTGGTGGGGGGAGGTATTTGGCATGTGAAAACATATCTGGGGGAGTACAGTCTGATTGTCAAGTATTCAAAAAAAATAACTTTCCAACCCTACTCCAAGGGCTAAGCCTTTCTGTAGATCACATGGCCCTAGATGCATAATGAACTTAAGTTAAACTGTGCCAAGCTGCAGCTAACAGTGGTGTGATCTAAACATTTTTGCTTTGTATCTTGTGGTATAGGCCATAGAAGAAAATGCCACAAAGTCCATGTGTTATAACTATGATGATGTAAGTATTTCAAACTAAATTTGCTCTCTACTATACACCTTATTCCAAAATGGTAGCAATACTACTTTCATTTCTGTTTATGTTATCTTTGTATCATGCAGTCATAACAAAGTTTAAAATAACAATATAATAATTTTGAAAGTGTTTTCTTTTCTGCACACCTACATCCATAATTTATGACTGTAATATATCAAGCATGAGATCCATTGTTTCACCACCAGATGAAACACCAAGAAGAGAGTTGAAAATATGACACACAGTGGAGTATTTTTCATGAACTTTGAGGTGCTTCATCTGTTGATGAAACACTGTGTCGAATGCTTGATATTACTTCTCAAACAAAATGATTTTACAAGGAGAAATTAAGGATGCAAAAATGAGCAGTTTTTCATCTGATTTCCAAACAATCATAAAACATTAATTTCCTTTGTATTCTTTTTAAATTATTAATGAGTTAGAGTTGGCTTTTTTGTAAAAAGTCAAGAGAGAAAGGGTTTTTATTACAAAAATTGCGGACATGTACATCACTATATACATAATTATATTTGTGTTATTTTTTCTTTTTAGCCATTTGTTTGTGTACGAGACCCATTGCACTGTCATCACAGGGAAAACAGGTGAGTTAATTAAACATAAAATAGTATTACTGCCATTGCATAGAGTTAAGCAGTCCTACTTCTAGTGTAAGAAGACACCAAAAACTTCGTAAGGGATTGATAATTATTATCATTATCATAATTATTACACTTATAAGTAGTATTAATTATTAGTGAGGAAGGGGTTAATTTTCAGTCCCTCCATGACCATTAATCAATTAATATTATGAGTATACCACTTGTTGAGAATAAAACATGTTGTCCTAGCTAGCTGACATATCTTGCAAATCTTAATCTTGCATTTGTTTCCATGCAAAAAAATAATTTCGGGTTTCAGTGACTGTATTGTAAAAGAGGAGTGAAAGTGATAATATATAAAGTTGTAACTGTCTAATAAATTGTTTTCTCTTGCTTTAAGTGACATGAGATTTGTTACAAGGCCCCAGTATGGAGATTATAAATACCTTCCAAAGTCATTGTGGCTTAGTGTTGTTTTGGTGAGTACGTACTTTTATGTACTTGTGACACTAAGGGCCTGTTTACATGGAGATGAGAGTCCCCAGGTAGGTGAGGTAACCCGTGGCAGGTCACCTCACCTGTCATGTAAACATGATCAAATTAAAATAAGAGATTATATGGACAGATGGGTTACCTCACCTAAGTAGGTTACCTCACCTACCTGGGGTCCCCCTCCTCCATGTAAACAGGCCCTAATTTTGCATACTGACACAGAACGTTCTCCTGGAAAAGGGAAATTTTTTATCAGCAGTTTAGTCTCAAACTCAAAATGTTAGCGTCTGAATAATTGTTTTGTGGTGGAAAAATCTACTCTGTGAAATTCAGTTTTTTAATTAATTTCCTCATACAAAAATACAGGGACAAAGCAAAAAGAAATAATTATGATAATAATAATAGTAAATATTATAAAGAAAGAAAGAAAGAGGGGGAAAAGGTGCTAAAACAGAACAGTGCCAAATACAGTGGTTACAAATCCACTTAATTTTTACAGTGCTACTTAATTACAAATAGATGCTATTACATTTCCTTAAAGAATTGGTTAAGAGAATTTGTTTGTATATGAAAGCTTTTCCCATCAGGTGATTATTTTATTAATTCTCACAACTTTTCCCCTTGATTATGTATTGGTTTTGTTGGGAGAAAATTGACTTAAACTGAACTTGGCCACTATGTGGAGGTGTTCGCCACTGTTAGTTCAACTCCACTACCATACTTGAAAATAGCCTATTGGTTTGATTCTTGCCAATTGATTTTTTTTTTGGACGTTTTGTCCATTTTGACACATTTCTTTGATCACCCTAGAAAGGTTGATTTTAACTGTATGTATTTAAGTGATTTACAGTTTAACCTCCACTAACCAACAGCCACCTCTCTTTCACAACCACATTTTTCTCTCGCGATGGACAGTCCATACATTGACTCTTGTTTAAAACCTCTCTACAACTGCCACCTCTCCACAATGACCACTTTTTTCTGCCCCCAAGGTGACTGTATGTTGAGAAGAGGTTCAAAAGTATTTCATTTCCCTCATCGGTGATATTATTTCGCTCATATTTTTTCTCCACTTCATAGCATGGTGGAGTAGCATTCTTGTACCATCCATGTGCGAGACAAGATCTGATAGATCAGTTAAAAAGAATGGCTGTCAGCTGTCTTCACAGGCATGTCATTACACCCTATGAACGACTAAGCCCCTGCAAGGTAAACATTACTATTTTAATTCACAGCAAGCCACTAACCTGTCTTTGGACATTCTTTTGGAAACTGGGAGACTATTTTTGTACATGGAAGACCTTGAAGCATTAGCCATGATATATATTTGGCCCATTATCATTTAGACATTTTATTTTAGATCTTAAAATTATTCTGTTTTCTGAGACTTGACTTCCTGAGGCTAATTAAACAAATTAATAGTGATAAATATTGTTAATTGTATTATTGCAATTTGTGCTGGCAAAAGGGTGCTCCACTTACTTAAATTGCAGTACCCAATCTCATGTTTCTTAATGAGCGGAGTAATAGAGTGTATTCACACACGTGGCCAGCTTCTATGCAAATTTATAGGAACAAAAGAAATTATTTTACTTAAGAAAAGAGTCCAACTCCCAAAGGATTTGTTTGGAACACCGATATGGCTGCCATGTCATTGTTTTGGAACACCAATATGGCTGCTGTGATGTCATGTGAATACGCTCTATTGCCTCTTATTCAGCCAGAATCTTCAAGGGTTGGTTCATGTCTTTTCAACACACAATTTTTTACTAGTAACACTGTAATTAAAATGATTCACATAAATTCATTTGATCCTGAAGGTGACAAAATTTATCAATCCCTATATCTGTTATACTTCCATCTCTTAAATTCCCACTGGCCTCTTGGGTTTGCTTCTTTCGTGTTCATTCTAACTTCCTTGCTGACCATTTCATCTTTCTTTTTTTTTAAACTGTTTAGCCTATTGCCATGGTTGCCTGGAGCTGCTTTTACTCATCATCGGAGTTGAACATTTCAGAAGGAAAACTTTGGATCAGGGAGAAGGCCATGAGAGGTCCAGCAAGCCATGTGTCGGAAAATGGCCAGTATACTGATGGACTCATAAAGCCAGCAGCAACAGTTTCAGATAAGCTTGACACTNTATACTTCCATCTCTTAAATTCCCACTGGCCTCTTGGGTTTGCTTCTTTAGTGTTCATTCTAACTTCCTTGCTGACCATTTCATCTTTGTTTTTTTTTAAACTGTTTAGCCTATTGCCATGGTTGCCTGGAGCTGCTTTTACTCATCATCGGAGTTGAACATTTCAGAAGGAAAACTTTGGATCAGGGAGAAGGCCATGAGAGGTCCAGCAAGCCATGTGTCTGAAAATGGCCAGTATACTGATGGACTCATAAAGCCAGCAGCAACAGTTTCAGATAAGCTTGACACTGATCTTTGTCCAGACAACATAAAGGTCTGTATTTATGGTCTATTTTGATCATCTTGTATATTTTTATGTATAGTAGTGTATGATATTGGGTTTGGAACAAAGAGAAATTATAAAAGAAAACAAAAATAAGATCAAACCACAGAATGTGCTTGTGTAGTGTACAGTAAGTACTGTTTATAAAAACGAGCAGGAGTTATCATCAGGTTTAAAAACTCAAGGTGAAGCTGGATTGTTTACACCTGATAATACGCAACTGTGAGTTTTTTGAATGGCTTCAAAATCTCTGATATAGAACAACTCATTCTTGCACTGATATTTAGATTCGGGGTCATTTTGGTCTAAAAATTTTTGAGGTAAAGTTAAGCTGTGTCTCTATCAGATATAAAGACACTCATTAAACAGAAAATATCTTTTGTTTTTTCTTTATGAATTATCATTGGGTTTTTTAACAATATTTGCATCTTTATAACAATGAAATACCGTATGTTGTATTTATTGTAATGTAGGATGTAGGATGGTACTTTTCTCTACCATAGGCAGGAACCAAACATCAACAGGCAAACTGAAATGCCCTCTGTCACACAATTGATATGGGTTTGCCTGAACCTGACTGCGACAGCCCCTCCCCCACTCCCCCCTTCTGTGCTCTTCATAAAAAAAAAAGAACTACTATAACACAAGTGACCACATTACAGTTGGCGTGAGATACTTCACTTGTGTCTTCCATAAGCTGTAGAAAAAGAAGTAAGAGGGATCTGGACAATGGGTTTGAAAGAGTGCTAATCAAACATAATTTTTATGGGGAGTAAAGACACAGAGAATTACGCGACAGTTTTCAGTTACTCATGGTTTAAATTTCACCTTCAACAGTGTAAAACTTGACACTTTTCTGACCTCAGTTTATTCTCTCATGCACTCATGACTACAGAATTTTGGTCCTAGGAAGTTTTCATACGTACCTGGGTTTCTTTGGTTTGCCAACACGACAATGTGTATCTTAGTGAATTTTCTGATACCATAGGCTTTGAGGCCTTCTAACAAGGTAGGGAATTAAAGGGAAGGCTGAACAAATAAGCAAGAAAAAGGGTACCAGGAGGAACATGATAATAGGGTGTGGTTTTAGGGAGCTCTGTTTACATCGTGCCCTCCACGCTTTAGACTATGATTAATATGATTGTCATCAATCATAAGATAAGTGAGTAATGTCGATATTGATTTGTTTTCAGTCTATGCTTCCTTTGTCACAAGAGCGTGAAAACAGTCATTCCCATGAAACACAACATGATCCATCTCAAAATGACTGGTCAAAAGACAGTGAGAAGTCCATCTCAATACAAAATTCAAAACTTGAAGAAGTATTTATTGTGAATGAACAAATCTCAAACAATCGTAAAGTCGATACTTCTAATGCCGCTTGGGCCTTGGGGAGTTTGATTTTTCTCTGTGCAATTCTTGGTGGCATGTTGATCTACACACGGCCATGGAAAACCAGAAACCATTGGTGGAGAATGGACGATTATAATAGCAACACTAAATTCAGTTTCATGAAAACAAGAGGGCTTCGGTGGAAAAATAGAATGTCTCCAGGCAAAAGGACATCAGGGTATTCCCGTTTACTAACTGCTATTCCAGAGGAATTAGAAGATGATATCTAGCAACAAGAATATTTTATATTTATATCTAATAGTACTTGGGCCCAGTTGTTGGAAGAAATTTACAGATTTATCAACTCAAAATAACATTAGCCTGTGCACATTGAAGCTGGCTCTTGCATCATCAGCTAAACCATTGGATAGTATTATGGTGTAGAGTGTCTTCAATGTAGGCTAAAATATGGGCAAAGCAGATTAATTTATGACACATCCTTCGGTGATGAATTTAGATTTAAGTTGGTCTAAATTTCAGCCTTGTCTGCATCAGATTTAAACATTAATTTCTTTGTTGTTTCCTCCTTGATTTTAAGTGGGTTTATGAAATGTTGCAAGACACTATTCCACAGTCAACTCCTGCTCTCTTTAAAGATTATGCCACTTAAACACCCCCTTCCCCCTAAAACTGAAATTCAAGATGGGTGCAAAATTCTTTTTGTCAAGTTCCAAAAAAGTATGACAAACAAACCACATAGACTGCAGAAAGGGTGTGTCAGGGAAATAATCATTGACAAGTGCACTCAGCAAGGAGGTACAAGATACAACCCATCTGACAAACGTTTGAGGAAGATTAAATATTGTGTGAGTGAAGCTTCTAATGTCAGACAAACAGCACATGGATTCTATACTTATTTAGTAGTCTCAACAAGTGATAAAGGGGGCTAGGTGGATGTGAAAAACATTTTTTTAAGGTTGAGATGGGAAGGGGATACATGAACACTTCACCNTTCCAGAGGAATTAGAAGATGATATCTAGCAACAAGAATATTTTATATTTATATCTAATAGTACTTGGGCCCAGTTGTTGGAAGAAATTTACAGATTTATCAACTCAAAATAACATTAGCCTGTGCACATTGAAGCTGGCTCTTGCATCATCAGCTAAACCATTGGATAGTATTATGGTGTAGAGTGTCTTCAATGTAGGCTAAAATATGGGCAAAGCAGATTAATTTATGACACATCCTTCGGTGATGAATTTAGATTTAAGTTGGTCTAAATTTCAGCCTTGTCTGCATCAGATTTAAACATTAATTTCTTTGTTGTTTCCTCCTTGATTTTAAGTGGGTTTATGAAATGTTGCAAGACACTATTCCACAGTCAACTCCTGCTCTCTTTAAAGATTATGCCACTTAAACACCCCCTTCCCCCTAAAACTGAAATTCAAGATGGGTGCAAAATTCTTTTTGTCAAGTTCCAAAAAAGTATGACAAACAAACCACATAGACTGCAGAAAGGGTGTGTCAGGGAAATAATCATTGACAAGTGCACTCAGCAAGGAGGTACAAGATACAACCCATCTGACAAACGTTTGAGGAAGATTAAATATTGTGTGAGTGAAGCTTCTAATGTCAGACAAACAGCACATGGATTCTATACTTATTTAGTAGTCTCAACAAGTGATAAAGGGGGCTAGGTGGATGTGAAAAACATTTTTTTAAGGTTGAGATGGGAAGGGGATACATGAACACTTCACCAGTCTTTATTTTTTCATGGAACATTGGGTCATGTATTAAAGTGTACAATAGCTTTGACCACCACCCCGATAGATGTCGCATTTTGGTGGTTATTTGCCTATAATTTTAGCAAACTCAAGCCAAAGACCCCCTATGGCAGTTCTCCTTAAAGTTGACTATTTGTTTACCACAAAATGTCAACTTGTTCACGAGAATATACTGCTTATCCAAAGCTCATTTACAAAAAAAATGTAAGCATTATAATCACTAAACTCAAAGATTGCCTTGTTCGTGGAAATGTATTGCCTCTCGACTCCATGCAAGAATTTCTTTCAATCTCTTTTCTGTTAAAGGTAACAATTCTTGGTTAAAATAAATCACCTTCCAAACAACATGATGTGATTGAGAACAAAACAAAAATGTCTCAGCTGGTACTGGGTAAAAAAAGATGTGAAATCAAATAATTTACTACTTAAGTATTATTATAATGGATTTATAGTTAAATTTAAAGTGTAAGCATTTAATATTTATACCAGAACACCCATGTCATAGCTATTGTTGACTGTCCTTCACCGAAGAGAGAATAACTCTAAACCACACCTTTGCAAGTAGTGAATTGCCACAAAGAAAATATTTAACTTCCCAATTTCCATGTTCATTCTAGTATCTCTAACAATAACTGCACCGCCACTGTTTAAAAGGAGTGTGTCTGTCTTGCCCAGTCATATTTTACGATAGAACAGAGTGAAAATGTAAAAAAATATTTGTAACTTTAATTGTAAATACTAAATAACCTTCACTGTATTAGAATCGTTCAACATATAATCTTTTGGGTGAAAATTATTTTTATGAGTAAAAAGAAAACAACTCAGATAATTAATGGTGTCTGTATATATTTTCTCTCAAGGGAATATTCATGGGCAAACCAAAATTATGTTATTCTCGTCTCAACATCTGAAAATCACACTAATTTTAAGTAGCGAGAACATACTGATAGATACATAAGGCATCTTAAAATCGACAGCAACAGAAACTTAATGTATTTTTAAGACAGCGGAACGCATGCTATAGATGTAGTATGCTCTTTTCTAGTTTTAAAACAGTTATAATTTATTCCTATGCCTACCCGTAGTTAGTAAAAAAAGACTGGTTATGAAAGGGGGCAAACGTCCCGGCGGGTTACTTGAATAACTGGGTTCTCAGAACACCTGCCCCATTATAGTCTATTCTGTGGTCAAATATAGACCCCATCCTAGTCACCTTTAGGAAAACGTAATTTTCGCGATCACAGCTTAGTAACTTTCTGTTTATGCATCTACCTTAAAAAGCCTTTTAACTAAGTCACCCTGAAATGAATTGACACAGTGGTTAAACTTAATGAACTAAAAATCTTCCTCTTTTTAAATCCGTACCCACCTAAATTTTATGATCCCCCAAATCCCGAAAATGTGCGATGACATTCTAGTAACTCTAATGAATATTCAACCCTATTATAGTCAATGCGACCTCATCCATTTGCCTATTACTAGGGCATACCTCCGGGGCGGGGGGGGGGGNCCTTTACGCAGAAATTATGTAATCATTTCTTTGATAAAAAGCGCAAACAAAAAAAAACATTTCTACAAATGCATTTTGAATTCGCATATTTCTACTTCTTTCTTATTCATTTGGAATTGAAACGATAAATTCGTTCACACACTCCAGTAATTCCCTCAAAAACCATACCCGATTCCAGACCAAAATGGGCAAAGTGTATACCCGTTTCAGACCAAAAATAGAATTAAACCCCTAAAGGAGATCAGACCAATCTGGGCGTGGCTCAGGGCTTTATTTTACCCCTAAGGAGAGAATATGAGAATATACCCCAACAAAGTATGGCGGCATTTCTACCCGTAAGCGAGACGACGAGCATCCCCGTCGCTTCCATAAAGGAATACCTCTTAGGGTAGTTAAAATAATACCAGAAGTTTACCGGGATCATGAAGGCTCCCTTCAATTCAGGATGTGTCTAGGTGGTGTTTAGAATCGGCTATTTTACAAAGGTAGTATTTCCGATTACGATTACCCTGTTAATACTCGCAAATTTAGCCCCACGAAGGGCATTGAACAGGTTAAGCGTGCGTAATACATATCTGCTTTTCTTTATATTTGAAAGGGGTGACTGGGTGGTATTGTCCAAAGTCTATTTTTTTTCTTCGTTTGCCAAATTTCGCGATTCCTGAAAGCTTCAAGTCAAACTTTCGTAAATACACGTCATTTTTCCGAACAAAGCTGGATTGTATTATATAATCGGGACAATCAATCCAGCATCCAACCTGCGATCAGGCGTTCTCACAGGCCACCCAACCACCAGCCCTCACCCCCAGGGAAAAGCGCCTCGGGGACGAGGTTGGCTCTCTACCCGTTGGGTGTCGCCTTTTCTCGATCTCTCTCGCGTTGGGAGTGATTTTCACGCGCGTTCGCGTTTCGCTCGCTCTACTATCCCAGAGGAAAATTGGGGGACTACTCGTAGTCTAATTTGCGAAAGATGGCTGTTGTGCCGATAGCCTCTACGCGGAAGTATCAAATGTAATTCTACCATCGCTCAAGCAAAAACTTTAGTAAATGGACAGCAAACAACTTTTAGTATTCAGTCATTGGTCCTGTCAGGAGTATCTCTACACATTTCAGCTTAAAATTAAAAGTAAAAACGTTACAAGGGGGGCCCCGCAAGGGTGGTGTAAGGGCAGTATTATTGGAGAGGAAATTTGATAATAATGGGGCAAAATATTCCTGTGCCTCTAATGGAAAAACCTAAATACGTGAGATAAGCATAACCTTTTCCTCTCATGCAAGGAAATCACATCCAGTGATATCACGTGAATGGGCTCAGGTTTTCCTGAAAAGTATGTATGATTTATACCCCATCCCCTCCCCAACAGATGCGAAACTGGGTCTGATTAAGTATACGCGTTGAGATCTGACTAGAGTTCATTTAAAGGCGGAAATGCTGTGTTGTTCATACGTGACTGATCCTTATTATAAGAGTTGCAGCAATTATATTCTATTGACTTACTTGCTTCACTGAAGGTATGTTACAATTTACTTATGAATATATGCTAAGATCAGGCTTATTAAAGACAAAACAGAGGCCATGATGTTTAGATTCGCTCAAGTTCAATGCTCTCTGAGTGAATTTAATATGGAGGCATGAAACCATTAGGAAAGTCGGGAGTCTGCGGATGAAATTCTATGATTTGACCATTCCAAAACAATCTCCTTCACAGTATTTTGTTCTCTTACTAAAGTGTCATTTTAAAGAGGTTGAATTTTTCTGGGATTGATTTTCGTAGACGGTTATTAAAGATTTTTCATTCTTTGAACACTGAAATACCGGAAAATTAAAAAAAATTATGACAATGAATACCAAGTCAGCATCTCGGTATCTTCCGCGGCATTTCGATCGTTTTATAATGGCCGATAACTTCTGCTGAGGCTTCTGTGGACACGCAGGTGTTTAGATATCTTACTCCAGCCAGATAGTTAAACATATATTTGACACAGATTGAATCTAAAGTTTTAACCCTGACGTTATTTGTTCTTAGGACGTCTTATAACCCTGTTTGCCCGGCAGGAAATATTTTCATGATCATGATTTGATGATAGAAAGTCTAGCTTCAAGTATTTAATAAATTCGTGGGTAATTTTGGCAACAGTCAGAACAGTAGAACATGGGAAACGCAAACAGTTCCAAACATGTCTTTTGCAGTAGTAATTTGGGAATGAAATTCGCTCAAATTTCCGCAAGCTTTAGCTATTTGCGGTCAAAATGGTTGCCCATAATAAGACCTCAGAAATCGTGTGTTATGTGTTATGTGAGGCTTGGACTGATGACTCATTGATAACGTCTTTCCGTTGCGTCACAGGTTTATGACCGATGATCACTAAATATAATCTGTTGCTGAGACTCAGCTGGCTCCCCATTAAACCAAAATGAAAAAAGCCCGCTCGATACAAAAAGCTTCCGCACAGTTGAAATTTATTCTGGGGGTTAGAGTGGCTATCTTGAGTTGGTCCTGTTTGACTGGTCTATCCGGTTTAACCGGAACTTAGACTTTCACTTTCACAATTGGGGTAATCTCGGACGTATAAATCTGTGATCTCTCTCTCTTTTTTCCCCAACAAAACTGTGTACTCCGTGTGTCAGTCGAATCGTCTTTTTTTTCTCTTTTTTTAAATCTCGTTTCATTTTAGATGTATTGTATCTCTCTGGGCTACTGCCAATTCCAGTGATGACTCTAATTGTAAAAAGAAAGCGAATGCACTTTTCAAAAAAGTTTAAATCACTTTAAAACTGGCGAGTCAGAATTTAAATGTGACTGCAATAACTTTCTTCTAAGACTCTTGCGGCTCGTTTTGCTTTGGCGGTTCATTTTGCTCATTTTTCGAAAAGGAGAGCTTGCTCGCAGGCTACTTTTAAAGCTACCGGAAGCGGTGTAACATTTATTGTTTTTGTTGTTGTTGTTGTTGTTTTCTTTGCCCCCTAACATGGCTACCATGACGTCACGCGAAAATCCTTTTTATGAAATCATTAGAGACGTCATATGTGGATAGCCTTTTTTACGCCGACCTCGTTCTCCCTAGTACATAAAAAATCGGTACAATATATGATACCCCATCCCCACTGAGATAGCATCCTTTCAATCAGTCAATTAATATGGCCGGTAAAAGGAATCACTGATTTGCAGTGTTGTGGACGCAGGTCATGTTCCTTAATCCTTTATGTTAGAATTTTCCTGTTCCCCCAATGTACAGTAACATTGCTGCAATTATAAGGCCGGAATCTTATAAACGACTCGTTGCTACTCATCCAGGCAATGGCGACATCTCAGGGACTCGAGTGTCCAGTCTGTTGTGAAAGTTTTGATGGCCAAGACGTCAGCCCTCGTATGCTGAGTTGTGGTCACAGCTTTTGTACCGGCTGCCTGGAGCGGTTACTCGCTACAGATGACAAAATTATCTGCCCAACCTGCAGAAATGAAGTTAACGTACCTCAGGCTGGAGTGGTAGGATTGCCAAAGAATTGGGCATTGTTAAGCCTCATTGTACCTGATCATGAAGGTGTTGATGGTTTGCCCATTTGCGAATTTTGCGAAAACAAGCATCCTGCGAACTCTTATTGCTTGGACTGTGAAGAGGACATGTGCAAGATTGCAGCTGGATTTCACACTCGTAACAAGACCAGTCGTGGCCATCGTATTGTCTCCTTGGAACCGTCCGCTGTATCTGTAAAGTGCTCGAAACATGACGAGCAATTCCGTTTATTTGATGTCAAGCGTAATTGCATGATCTGTAGGAGCTGCTTTACCAGTTTCCAGGGTCGCGATATTGTGTCTCTACACGAGGCCGGTTCGAAATGTAAAGAGAAATTGGAACAACTTGCCACTAAAGCTAGATCTAGGGCTGAGGTTATCAAAGGCGTGGAGGAAGGTGTAAGGGATGTGAGTCTTGATGTGAAAGCGTCTTGCGACGAACAGCGTGCTCGAATTGAAAGTGTATTCGAAGAGGTACGTCTTGTTCATATTTATTTAAACCGTCAAGTTTTTTTTCACTGAGCCGAACTTAACTTCGGTTTATGAGCTTTAAAGGAGGTCTTACTCTTTTCTCGGTCTTTAATTAAAGAGTCATTCCCCAACATCATAGTTATTAGAGGAGACTGGTTATGAAAAGAGGCAAACATCAATGATAAAAACAACAGTGCTGCAGTTTATGTTAGAAGCACCCTGAAAGTGCACAATCCTTTGTTTTCTGTTGGCAAATTGTTACGGAATAAATTAATGTAACGTTTTTATTGGTCAATACAATCAAAATGATAAGAATTCTTTTGAACGTTGTACACTTTCAGGTCCACAAAAACATATAACAAAGGGGTCTGACGGGTTTCATAACCATTCCACTCAATTAACTATGCCAACATCTATGATTTCCCACACAACCAGTTAGGATTTTCTCCCTAGACAGATTTCTAGAATTTTATTATCGGTTTTATACTAATTGTCTTACAGCTTCGCACTGCCATCGAAACAAGAAAGAAAATTTTGCTGAATGAGTTGCAACAAGTACACAATAGGAAGACGCTTATCCTGACAGAGCAGCGGAACCGCCTACGCGAATATCAAGAAAATATAGAGAGTTCCGTCAAAGATGTTTTGTCGACCATCCAATCATTGGACAATGCCAATCTCCTTGACGCCAGCTCCAATTTAGAGTCCAGGCTCGTTGATGTGGAGAAACAATCCTTCATGCTTGAGCCTGAGGCACAATGTGTTCCGGAGTTTAACCTTAATCGTCGTAGATTGCAATACTTGCAGGACGATGTCAACAGTTTGGGTAGAGTCAGCGATAAGTCGACCTGTGCAGAAACCACCACTGCTTGTGGCTCAGGACTGGAGCGCGCAAAACGAGGAGAGGAGGAATCTTTCACCATCAATGCTTTTGACGCTCAAGGTGTCCAACGTAACGCGGGTGGAGATGCTTTTGCAGTAGAGCTTAAAAGCGGATCAGGAGAGAAAATCAGAGTGAATGTTAGGGACCAAAAAAATGGTAGTTACGTAGTTACTTACACTATCCCCTCAGGTGCTAAACGAGTTGATTACACATTGAGTGTGCGTTTGCGAGGTGCTCACATTAAAGGCAGCCCTTTCACTGTGCACATAGCATCATCACTACGCTGCAAAACTTACAAAGCGCTGTCAAATGCAGCTAGTAAACTCACTCCGCGTTGAGGAATCTTTTAGCATATTTTTACCAGCTATCAATTGATTTATGAAATTAAAAACCCTAAAATATACTCAGATATTTATACAGCACATCAACCAACATCCAAAGTTAGGATGGTAATTCCAGAATTGCATTATATAACCTCAAAAAACTGGAAAAAAAAACTGCTCTTACCGATATTTCGTCTTTAGTAAAAGACTTCGTCAGGGCAACAAATATTTTTTACATGTATATTCATATACCATTGCCATCCAACCAGAGTGCTTCCTTTTTTATATAGTAATAATAGACAAGAATTTTGTTTTTCATTGTAAACAATATAAGGATTTTACCTTCATCTTGGTCCTACCCTGCGAGCAGAGGAAATTCCATCTTCCTAGATGGGTCAGGAAGAAGGGGGCCTTGACCTCTTTCCCAATTATCTAGGAATTAACAAAGAGCCTCTACTCACAGGGTATCTCCGTCCATGAAAACGCGAGAAAGAGCTTAGCAGTTATCCAGCCATCGCGAGCTCGGTGATGGTTGGACAATAAGGCAGTATATGATTATACTAATAATGCAATTGGAAGATAGTTCCAGGCTTCAGAGGTTATACATCGCTTTATTGCTACAGTTCTGTTTCGTATCATGGCCTGACACTCATCAGGCAATTTTAGCGAGTGACCGTTAATTTTACATGCTGACAATTTATACTGCGTTGCCAAATTATTGCTCCTGAAAAGTTGAACACTCTAGAAAAATTATTCTATACGATTATACCATATACATTCATCTAACCTCCTTTTACTTCAAAAGTAAAACAGTTCCAAGTCCCAGGCCGCGATTTATCTTAGCCGAATGAATGCGGAGATGGTGATGGTAGTAACATTGTGGTTAGAACGATTTTTTTACCCAGCATAGACATAATACAGACTAAATTGTTTCAATTGGAAGGTTGGTATAACTTGTTTAGCCTATAGTATAATTGCAGTCTAGCAATACTGTATAAGCAATAAAACAATCAGTTCTGCCATCACTTAGTGTAACGCTTAAACGCCAATAACTAATATATGTATATTGATGATCAGTATTGTTCCACTTCCAAAGTCAATTATAAGAAATGGAATAAAGTTCTAGCGGCGACTTAACCAAATTAACTTGATTGTTCTGAAACTGTAATAACGAGCATAAATCAGTTGCTTTCAAGATAGGACGGCGGATTGGATGCACTGGGTACACCATCCAACCACCCTCCCCCTCCTCCCTCCCATGTAAGAAATGAATTGGCCAGCCCCAGGTCTATTTGCGAGAGAAGACTTGCACCGGCCAAGGCACTGACTGAAAGGCGGAAGTGGTGTTGACACTGAAATCGTGCTTATAAAAAGTGTCTACACTCATCATATTGACTTATTTGCTTCTTTAAAGGTAAGTAGAGGTTTTATAGGATATAATATAAATCTGAGCTATATCGAAAATAGACTTTCCAGAGAAGACGGTGGTCAAGCTACGCCATATATATATGCTATATTTCCGCCAGAGTGAAACTAACAATCAGCGATTGATTAAATTTTAATACACTTTCTCTTCCAGAGTTGAATATGGCACATAAAATGTAGTTCTAAGTTTCAAATCAGTCTACAAAGACCCATGGTGTGTGCATTCAATTACATTTGAATTTCAGTCAGCATGTGATATAACTGATATAGAACGGTTATTGCTCCTGCATATAAATAAGACATAAGAAATTATTGTTTCTTGAATCCACCATGCATCTTGGTTACTCTCGCATAGAAGCGGTTAAAAGTTAAACTATTGATTATAAAACGTCACCATTTCCCAGTGGATTTCAGTGGATCGCCTCATCTGTTTCGAGTCTGTTTTTAAATTCTGGATTACGCGTAGCGTAAGGCTACGTGCAAACGGGCGCAACAACTCCCAACAATGTTGGGAGATGTAGGCCAACAATGTTGCGTCCATTTGCACGCAGCCTAAGGAACAAGTTATTCTGGGCAATGCGATATGCAACTGTGTCACGCAGGTGTGGACATTTTCGTAATTAGTCGGCTCCGCACGAAAGCGCCCGATATCAAAACGACAACTTTCGTAGATCGATCATTCCCGTTCCTCGATCAAGAAGTGCTGAGCGTGCATTGTGCCCAAAGCTTTTGATGTTATGATTTTGTACCTTTCACAGGACAATAAGTTGTCAGTTCATGTGGACTTTGAACGTTTCAAATTAGCACTATAGCCAACTTTGAGACAGAAGTTATAAACTTTTGAAGCTTTTTGACTCGTCCAGGCGATAAACACGTAGTGAACCTGACGAAAAGATCAGCAATTGCTCTTCCACTCCCAAGCTGGTCCAAGCTCACGATTTTTTTATCTTTTCTCACGACAAGACTCCCAGTCAAATAGTGTTTAGGAAAATATCATTCTGAAATGAAATGTTTCTTTGTTCAATGAAAATGGAAATGTTTACTGCTGCTGAATCGTAGTTGATTGTATAACGCCGTCAGCAAGAGACTTCGCGACGGTTTTGCGAGACACTTGTTGGGGACATGTTCTTCAAATTTGACTAAGCGAGTCAAAGTACGGCTTTGCAAGTTCATTATCAGCTTTCATTTCTAAAATAATTAATTCACAAGTTAGCCATAGGTACCCTTTGATTCTACTTCGTATCGTATCGTATACATCAATATTCTACTCAATTTCAATAGTAAATTGATGTATTTACACTTATAGCTCATAACTTAGCACTAATAACACTTTTACACTTAGCAAATAACTATACCCCTTCGACATACCCTGCTTCGCTTCAATTATATTATACCGTAAAAATTCCAAAATAAGCCCCCGGGTTTATATTTTTTAAAGGCCCTTTTTAAGGAGGTTTTTGTGGAGAGGCTTATATTCGAAGGAGCTTATTTATACGGAGGGAAATTTGCGTTTCAAAATCGATCGGACTAGCTTATAGTTGGAAGGAAATGTATGTTATTAATTAGAAAGACGTTTTTACTGAAACTCGCCATGAGGACGTAGATCGTTCTAAAAACCGTTATGACTGACCGTTGTGTGCAAGTACTTTGTCTAATATGGACCGAAAAAATCCAACCAAGAGTGAAGAGTGAACTACGCAAACAGCCAATACTGTGACACTCATTTGGCATGAGTAATAGTTCTTTGGCAAATAAAAACAATCATGTGTTACTGTACCGTTCTTGTTTTGTTTCATTTTTCATTAGCATGAGGGCAATTTCCAGGTACAACCCCTCGGGGGCTTATATTATGGAGGATTTTTTGCGTTACGAGTTTGGGGGGCGGGGCATATATTTGGAGGGGCTTATACATGGAGGGGCTTATTTTCGGAATTTTACGGTACTTCAACTGTTTGTACTTTGCAGCACTGACTTCATTTTCCATGCGACATGCTTGCAATCCACCCTTTAAAAATAGATTTTAAAACCAGTTTTCTGCTGGAAATCGCGTGCGTTTAAATCCAGTTATTTTGTGTCCCAGCAAATAGAGTTCACCCAAAGCTAGACTTCGTCATCATCAATAACTGAATTAATATGTAAAGGAACGTGGAGCATAAATGAGTTTAGTTCTGAAAGAAATAAATGGTTTTATGCTGAATGTGACTGATCAATATTGTATTTCTCCACCTACTAGCAAAGGAGGGTTTTCCTGTCTTCCTTAACCCTGTTCCTGAAAGGCCGATTAGAGCTAATCGAGGATTTAAAGTTCTTCCACTTTGTCGTATTTACCTTCATATGCATTGCTAAGAGTAGCATCATTATTATATCTCTTATTTTGTAAGCTTGGGTTACATGTTCTTAGACAGGAAAACCGTGCCCTAGGTGCCAGAATTTGTGCTTGGATGCTTTTGAGGCGTCCGACGAAGAGCGAAACCAACGGGTGGTAATTCTGGCTTGAAGGAAAAGAAGTGGAACTTTACCCTTTGTCTATATTATGCAGTTTCTAAGTGTTTCCTTTTTTCTTTTCACAGCACAATGACATCTGCCCAAGTACCCGAATCTCCTATCTGTCGTGAGCTTTATGATCATCAAAATCTTTTCCCTCGTCTTCTCAGTTGCGGTCGCACCTTCTGTTCCAGCTGCCTAGAGAACTTACTCAAAAATAATTCCATTTCTTGCCCAGACTGCAGAAAAACAGGGTCTATTCTCACTGGTGTCGCAGGACTGACATCATGGAGTTTGCGGTATTTGAAGCGCAAATTCTTCCGAACAAATCCACTTTTTTGTTGTTTTTAACTAATGTCCTTGGCTTTGATTGGTTATAGCTTCATGACGCAATCACGACCAAAGAACAAGAACTGATAAATGAGTTGGAAACGCCATACAGCAAAAAGGCAGCCATCCTCACAGAGCAACGAGACGTTTTGGGCAACTGTCAAGACTGTATAAAGGCTTGGAACAGGCTAACATCCAACCTGCGATCAGGCGTTCTCGCAGGCTACTCAACCACCAGCCCTCACCCTCAGGGAAAAGCGCCCTGGGGACGAGGTTGGTTCTCTACCCGTCGCGTGTCGCCTTTTCTCACCCTGGGTGATTTTTCACGCGCGGTCGCGTTTCGCTCGCTCTACTATCCCTTAGAAAAAATGAGGGACTTTGCGAAAGATGGCTGTTGGGCAGATAGCCTCTACGCGGAAGTATCAAATGTAATTCTACCAGCTTAAAAAGTAAAAACGGCCCAAGGGTGGCCCCGCAAGGGTAGTGTAAGGGCAGTATAATTCAGTGGAGGAATTTTGATAATAACGGGGCAAAACATTCCTGTGCTTCTGATGGAAAAACCTTAATATATTAGATAAGCAGAACCTTTCCCTCCTATGCAAGGAAATCACATCCAGTGATATCACGTGAATGGGCTCAGGTTTTCGCGAAAATTATGTATGATTTATACCCCATCCCCTCCCCAACAGATGCGAAACTGGGTCTGATTAAGTATACGCGTTGAGATCTGACTAGAGTTCATTTAAAGGCGGAAATGCTGTGCTGTTCATACGTGACTGATCCTTATTGTAAGAGTTGCAGCAATTATATTCTATTGACTTACTTGCTTCACTGAAGGTATGTTAAAATTTACTTATGAATATATGCTAAGATCAGGCTTATTGTCTTAAGACAAAACAGAGGCCATGATGTTTAGATTCGCTCAAGTTTTAGCTCTCTGAGTGAATTTAATATGAAGGTATGAAACCATTAAGAAAGTCGGGAGTCTGCGGATGAAATTCTATGATTTGACCATCCCAAAATAATCTCTTTCACAGTATTTTGTTCTCTTATTAAAGCATTATTTTGAAGAGGTTGAATTTTTCTGGGACTGATTTCGCAGAAGGCTTTTAAAGATTTATCATTCTTTGAACAAAAGCCGGAAAATCAAAAAAACAATCAGGGGCACCCAACGAGAATATAGTTCAAAACCACTTAACATAGCATTGTTGAATGTATTTTACTGGCATTTAAACAGTAGATATAGGCATATTTTAATCCCCTAAAAATTTTTCATCTGTTCGGATTTCCTAGCTGAAAGTCTAGTGATCCGAAAATTATAGGGATCAAAACTTACCTTTTCGAAAATTTCACCCAGAAAAAAGGCTCCCGAAAATTCTAGGTGACCTTTTAAGGGTAAAAATCCGTTAAAAATAGGCAATTATACCATTTTTTTAGATGTTCGAAAATTCTAGAAAAGGCAGGCAAGCAAGAAATTTTACAATAAATTTTCCGAAAATTCTAGATCTCATATTGTCTTCCGAACAGATATTTTCCGAAAATTGTCGTTGGGTGCCCCTGAACAATGAGAATAAATATCAAGCGGTCAGCATCTCGACATGTTCCAGCATTTCGATCGTTTCATAATGGCCGATAACTTCTGCTGAGGCTTCTGTGGACACGCAGGTGTATAGATATCTTACTCCAACCGTATAGTTAAACATATATTTGACACAGATTGAATCTAAAGTTTTAACCCTGACGTTATTCGTTCTCATCACGTCTTATAACCCTGTTTGCCCGGCAGGAAATATTTTCGTGATCATGATTTGATGATAGAAAGTCTAGCTTCAAGTATTTAATAAATTCGTAGGTAATTTTGGCAACAGTAGAACATGGGAAACGCAAACATGTCTTTTGCAGTAGTAATTTGGGAATGAAATTCGCTCAAATTTCCGCAAGCTTTAGCTATTTGCGGTCAAAATGGTTGCCCATAATAAGACCTCAAAAACACTCCAAGAATCGTATCGTGTATTATGAGTCATGCTTGAACTGATGACTCATTGATAACGTCATTCCGTTGGGTCACAGGTTTATGACCGATGATCACTAAATATAATCTGTTGCTGAGACTCAGCTGGCTCCCCATTAAACCCGGCAAAATGAAAAAAGGCCACTCGATGCAAAATCTTCCGCACAGTTGAAATTTGTTCTGGGGGATAGAGTGGCTATCCTCTTGAGTTGCTCCTGTTTGACTGGTCTATCCGGTTTAACCGGAACTTAGCTTCTCACTTTCACAACTGCGGTAATCCCTGACGTATAAATCTCACTCTCTTTTTTTTCGTCAACAAAACTGCGTACTTCGTGTGTCAGTCGTATCATGTTTTTTTTTTATCTCGTTTCATTCTAGATGTATTGTTGCTCTCTGGGCTACGGCCACTGCCAATGATGAGTCTACTTGTAAAAAGAAAACGAACGCACTTGTCAAAAAAAATTGAATCACTTTCAAACTGGCGTGTCAGAATTTTAATGTGAACTTTTTAGTAATAGCTTTCTTCTAGCTTTCGCGGTTCATTTTGTTCATCTCTCGAAAAGGAGAGCTTGCTCACAGGCTACATTTAAAGCTACCGGAAGCGGAGTCACATTTATTGTTTTTGATGTTGTTGTTGTTTTCTTTGTTCCCTAACAGGGTTACCATGACGTCACGCGAAAATCCTTTTTTATGAAATCATTAGTGACGTCTTATGTGGGTAGCCTCTTTTACCCCGACCTCGTTCCCAGTATTCTCTCTCTCTGAGCGAGAATCCTGGGAACGAGTTTACTTGATTCATGAGAGTACCATTGAAGGTGTCGGCCAATGATCTTGACCTCGTTCCAAAGAAGGTAGTGCACAGTAACTTGTTAAGCTCTGAGTGCATGAACGCTGTATGTCTCATTAATTAATGGGGGATGAGACGGTAAAATATCGAAAAAGAATGCCCAAAATGTTAAATTTGGGGACAAAAAATCTCCGCTCTCCCTAGAACATAAAAAATCAGTACAATATATGATACCCCATCCCCACTGAGATAGCATCCTTTCAATCAGTTAATTAATCTGGCCGGTAAAAGGAATCACTGATTTGCAGTGTTCTGGACGCAGTTCATGTCCCTTAATCCTTTATGCTAGAATTTTCCTGTTACCCCAATGTACAGTAACATTGCTGCAATTATAAGGCCGGAATCTTATAAACGACTCTTTGCTATTCATCCAGGCAATGGCGACATCTCAGGGACTCGAGTGTCCAGTCTGTTGTGAAAGTTTTGATGGCCAAGACGTCAGCCCTCGTATGCTGAGTTGTGGTCACAGCTTTTGCACAAGCTGCCTGGAGCGGTTACTCGCTACAGATGACAAAATTACCTGCCCAAAGTGCAGAGTTGAAGTTAAAGTACCTCAAGCTGGAGTGGTAGGACTGCCAAAGAATTGGGCATTGTTAAGCCTCATTGCACCTGATCACGAAGGTGTTGATGGTTTGCCCATTTGCGAATTTTGCGAAAATAAGCATCCTGCGAACTCTTATTGCTTGGACTGTGAAGAAGACATGTGCAAGATTGCAGCTGGATTTCACACTCGTAACAAGACCAGTCGTGGCCATCGTATTGTCTCCTTGGAACCGTCCGCTGTATCTGTAAAGTGCTCGAAACATGACGAGCAATTCTGTTTATTTGACGTCAGGCGTAATTGTATGATCTGCAGGAGCTGCTTTACCGGTTTCCGGGGTCGCCAAGTTGTGTCTCTGGCTGAAGCCGGTTCGAAATGTAAAGAGAAATTGGAAGGACGTGCCACTAGAGCCAGATCTAGAGCTCAGGTAATCAAAGCCGCGGAAGAAGGTGTAAAGGATGCGAGTCTTGATGTGAAAGCGTCTTGCGACGAACAGCGTGCTCGAATTGAAAGTGTATTCAAAGAGGTACGTCTTTGACTCAATTGTTTTTTTCGTTGAACCGATCTTAACCTCGGTTGATGAGCTTTAAATGAGGTCTTACTCTTTCCCCGGCAATGCTATCACACAACCACTTAGGATTTGTTCCCTAGATAGATTTCTAGAATATTATTATCGGTTTTATACTAATTGTCTTACAGCTTCGTACTGCGATCGAAACAAGAGAGAAAATTTTGCTGAATGAGTTGCAACAAGTACACAATAGGAAGACGCTTATCCTGACAGAGCAGCGGAACCGCCTACGCGAATATCAAGAAAATATAGAGAGTACCGTCAAAGATGTTTTGTCGACCATCCAATCATTGGACAATGCCAATCTCCTTGACACCAGCGCCAATTTAGAGTCCACGCTCGTTGCCATGGAAAAGCAATCCTTCATGCTTGAGCCAGAGGCACAATGTGTTCCGGAGTTTAACCTTAATCGTCGTAGATTGCAATACTTGAAGGACGATGTCAACAGTTTGGGTACAGTCAGCGATAAGTCTACCTGTGCAGAAACCACCACTGCTTGTGGCTCAGGACTGGAGCGCGCAAAACGAGGAGAGGAGGAATCTTTCACCATCAATGCTTTTGACGCTCAAGGTGTCCAACGTACCGTGGGTGGAGACGCTTTTGCAGTAGAGCTTAAAAGCGGATCAAGAGAGATAATTAGAGTGAATGTTAGGGACAAAAAAAATGGTAGTTACGTAGCTACTTACACTATCCCCTCGGGGGCTAAACGAGTTGATTACACATTGAGCGTGCGTTTGCGAGGTGTTCACATTCAAGGCAGCCCTTTTGCTGTACATATAGCATCATCACTACGCGGCAAGACTTGCAAAGCGTTGTCGAATGTAGCTAGTAAACTCACTCAACGTTGACTGAGCAATTTTTTACTATATTTTAACCACTGATCAATTGGTTTATGAAGTTAAATACCCAAACTATTTTTTACTTGTATGCATTCCTCATACCATAGTAATTGTCGGAAAGCTTTTTGATTTTCATGTCAACAATTTAGAAAGTCTGTATCTTTATCTCGGTGATGGTCATACCATACGAGCAGAGGCCCTTCAATCTTTCTAGATAAGTCGGGAGGCCTGAAGAAGGTCCCAGTTCTTTTTTCGGGCTTATCTAGGAAGATCAACGATGAACAGTCTAGAAAATAATGTGTGACATGTAGTTAAGGTTATGCGAGGTTCTGCGATAGAAGTATTTCTAGTGATAAGGGATAAGGCAGCTGCTGACTCATTCCCAGGAAGCCGCATACATGAATCAACCTGTGCGAGTAAAGGTGACTGGAAACGAGGCAAATTCATGCAGTCAGTATCTATATTTCCAAAAGACTGGTTAGTTCGCACTGTATTTGCAAGTGTGAGTTCAGTGTTGCTACCGTTTTTTACTTTAATAGAAGCCTCGGCTCAGCACTTTGCGTAAAGTTACATTTTAATACCTGCATAAACAAGCAGTTATTCCCCACCCTTCTCTCCTCTGCAATATAGAGGAGAAATGTGACGTCATATTACCATAGTAGCAAAATTTCTGGATCACAACAATATGGAGACGACGCCGACGACGGCAAAGAGAACTGGAAAAAAGCAATAGGTTTATATTGCTTTGCACTCTGCACGTGCATCACGCTTTTTTGTACGTTTCTTAGCCGTCGTTGCATGACTGCGACGTGAAACTTTCTCATTTCACGCGCCCGCTTTACTAAGTAGGTGAGCACAACGCAAAAATATTCTTTTTCTTTTTCTTAAAGTGCTACTACGATGAAATCTTTGACTACCATTTTTTTTCGCTAGATTGGCAGTTTAGTACTTGAAGTACATGGTGTGCAAATTATAGCTTCATGCGATTAAGGAAAGTGGTATTTTTTGGCGCTCAAAAACCATTAATTTTCGTCCGCCATTAAAACGCTATGTTCCTGTGGCCTGGTTACTAAGAACACAAGGCAATTGCTTTGTGACGTCATTTACTTACATAATTTTCTTCCAAGAACCCTGATCAACAATGTTCCCTTTCCTCCCACTTCGATGCGTTCTTGTTTAGGAAGACTCTTTCGATCTTACTACATTAGGCTCCGTATGTGTGCAGCAACCGCTTCAATCGATAGAATTGTGCTGCACGCGAGTCTGACCAACTGAATGTGAGATTCGAGGAATAGGTTTGTTTCCAGCTGACAGTTTCGCTGTTTTCTCGGTTTGATAACTTCGAAGAGTGCTGCAATAGCATTTACGGGGCTTTCAACGCAAACCAGTAGCGGAAAATTAAACTTGGATCATTTGCTAGCATATGGAAGAAAGATCAATCGACAGATCTTGAATCCGGAAAGAAATCTTCGCATAAAGAGGGAGCGCATGGAGGTAAGCTTACAGTTCGCAAAACTTGCTAAGTTTATTTATATCGCCGGTGGTGATTTTTGCTTTTACTACTGGCGAAGTCATCGAAGATAAATTTTCTCTTAGACCTTTCTTCGACTGGAACGCGACGACTACGAAACTTTTAGGAAACTTTCAAAAAGATTTGCCCTAAGGCAACAGATCACAGAGAGCCCTCTAGTTTTGTAAACACTATTATTGCTCACACCTTGCTCTTGTAGTGTACTATTTTTTCTGTTACCACTATTAACATTCCTTTGAGCTTTTATAAAAAGTTTTAAAGCTCTATTTGTAAATTTTTATTATAAAATATTAAAATCTATCAGGATCATGGTGCAATCTGAATGGTATGATATTTTAATATACAGTAAATTCCTTAGTATTTCCAACATTCTGGTCGCCATAACCCTCACTAAACAAAAGGTATGCTTTTTTCAATTTTAGTCTTCCCAAAACTCAGAGCCTGATTAAAACTGCACAGACACATTGTCAGTTCAAACCACAAGCTAAAGCAAGAGAGCCCACACAAGTTTATTGCAAAAACTGTTTTTGCAATTTTGTAAAATACAGCAAGAATTATTACCATTTACTGATGTGGTCTTTAAAATAAAATTGTGATCCTATCTTGAATGTTGTGTATTGTTATTCTTTTGAGTGAATAACGAAAAGTTTTGCAATCTCGCATTGAATACTTATAATAATTATAATTATAGTATATCATAATTTGAGATGTAAACTCCAACTCAGGGGCACTCATGCACTGAATCACTGAAGTGATGTGACTGACAGATTGCAAGTTAAAAATGAATAATCACCAAGGCTTGGTCACTGAAATATTTACTGCAACTGAGGGTTATGTACATGTATGAGATAGTTTCATGGCCCCTGCTCATCACTGCTGCTTTGTGTTTGACTACTCAAGGTTGTGCTCTACCAGCACCCAGTTGGCCCGTGGTGCTTAACTATTGTTCCGGGGCAACTAGGAAATTTTTTCATAGAAATCATGTGCTGGGCACCCAGGATTTCACGGGTCTGGAGCACTGGGCTCCTTTCAATTTTTCTTAGAGCACAGCCTTGCTACTTCAAAAACCTTGGTGTATCTTTTAATATGGGATAGACTAATGTTATTCCTATAAATGAGGAAGCTTCATGGCCCCTTACCACATACAAAGGCACTGTCCACCCTACTGTAACAATTGATCTGCACACTTGTTGATCACAAGATAAATGTGAGGCCCCAGCTAAGAACCTGGAGGACAAGTTTAGGTCTTACGTACCGTGTGCAATATACAAATCCATTATTTTTTTGTCATACCAGTGATTACAATAAACAAGCCAAGGGCCGTAATACTGTTTAAAGGCTGCAATTTTATTGTTCTTTGTTGCCTGATTTAGCATAGTCTATTTTGGGGGTATTATATAGCCTAAGCCAAGCTAGGGCAGGGCCCATGCAGGGCAAAGGGGCTTCCCCACTTTTTGAAAAATAAATAAATAAAATTAAGTACAGTGGAACCTTGATATAATGAAGGGCCAAGGGACTGGCAAAATATGTTTATTCTAACGAGGTTTGTTAACTTTTATCGAGGTTCTTTTTCATATTGCCTTATATTTTACTATTACTGGAGTAAAAAAAAATAGTTTGTTAGACCGAGGACTTCGTTATAGAGGTTCCATTGTAATATACATTTTCATATGAATAGTATCTTTGTTGGAATAAGAATCTTCCAGCATCTAAATTTATTATTGGTCCGTTTTGATCCCATCAGTCTGATGCGTGGTAAGCCTTAAAAAGTCAATCGTCCTAGATTTCTGCATTTTCAAACCAGCAAAGCTATGTAGCATTTGCAACAATGCAGAATAGTCTTTTTTGATGAAGGTTCTTGATTAAATCTGAAGACTACTCCATGAACTACGGTTTCTTAAAACGAATTATATCAGGTGATGATGTGGTCTCTGGCACATTTCAATGACATGCTAGACAAATTGAAGGCATTACAGGAACCTACAGTGTAATATCATGATCTGCAAACTTCTAGTGGTGGATTCAGCATGTGCAATCACCCTCAGCAGGAGAAAGGTACTTTTCAGCGGCTTGAAATCTATGAACATGACTGCTCAACAATGACTCAAGAAAGGTTCAGTAATCTGACAGTTCTAAACAGCCACAAAGAGAGAACAGCCAAATTTGCTCTCCCCCCCCCCCTCCCCTTAATGTAGGTGGTCACCGTCCCGCGCACATTGAAAACTGCTTCGTAGGCCCTCCTAGGGGTTTTAACTCTTAAAAATGCTAGTTTCTAATAATATTTTACAATGGAAAAAACCAGCAAGAAAAACCCACAGAGCACAATCAAGGATGGGCCTCCATGATAAACATAATTTCCACTGTGTAACACTTCTTCCTAGAGGCAGTGAATTTATGGCACACTGTGTTATCAGCAGAATCGTGCAACCTAGTGATGTACTGAACCATTTAGTTTTTCAATACATAACGTTAGTTGCAAATAATAATTTATTAATGCAGTGATAACCCAGTACTCTATGATCTACAGACACCCACTTAATTGGACACCCATATATAACAGGCAGTTTTGTTTGTCCTGAGGAAAAGCATAGATTTTTTCTTTAAAATTAACCGGCTTAGTACGCACAGTAGTTAGCACAGTAGTTAATGTGGACAACAACCACTTTTCTGTGTTTCAAGTCAGAAATTCCTATATATTCTTAATCCAGCTTTACAGACACTGGTTACCCAGGCACTTTCTATTTTTCTTGTCACAATGATGTGCCAATTGTAGACATTGTACCAAGTTCACGGGTTAATAAGATTTTATTACCAAAACATCTGCAGCCAAATAGCATGACACATTTGATTTTGATACATCTTTCTTTCTTCCCCTGTTTGTAGTCCTTTGATAAATTTTCTGCCTCCTACTCAACAAGTTTCACGTCCTTGGCTTTTTGCTACAGTCATTGTTCCTACCCTTCTTCCTCCTTGTTCCTTTATGCTATATATCAAATAAATCACGTGTCTGTGACTTTTTTCCAGAGAGCTAACTTAATATGGACACCCGGATAATACGGACACCCATATAATATAGACATCATAACATGTCTGTGTTAACCGTTCCACTGTATATATTTTCTTGTCTAGCCAAAGCTTCAAAGCTGGTCCCAGTAAAGAGAGCATCCAAAAAATGCACACCTGGGTTTGAATAATAAATAAATTTAAAAAAAAAACGTCACATACAACAATTTCATAAAGTTATCTATAAAAGTTATGGGAATACAAGGGGATATCATTGACAATAGTTGGATGAGGTGAAATCTCTGAATTTTTATTAGCGTTGCAATTTATAAGTTGCTATATTGATCTGCAGTCAATCGATAGGGAAGGTATAGGCAGACACAGCCTTTTCAAAAAAACATGAGCTACAAAGAATGTGACAGTCTTTAATGTCAGCACTGAAAATTATTAAATTGATATACCAAATCAAGAGCGAGCGATCCCCTTATTTATCTATTTATATTGAAAATGAGTAAATTAACTTTTCTGACAAAGAGAACTTAACATTAGATCTAATTTTAAAATCCTCAGCTCAGATACGTAACACTAAAGTAACAATTAAATTTTCAATAATAAAGGACAGCAGTCCGTTTAAGATGGTAAAAAAAAAAACATGCATATGACAACGAGCTGGCTGCTTTAGAACTGAAACTTAGCTGAACTGAAAACTGTACCCACTCTGATTCGCTGTGCCTGAAGAGCTATAAAGCAAAACTTTATCTACACTTGGATAAATGAGCACTCGAGAGTGGCTAGAAGGCAGGTGAAATTGGTGCGGACTCTCGATCGTCTTGCCTGTGTATTATTATTATAGCTAGTACGTATACAAATACACCTACCAGTAGTCCGAATCTCCGTCGGCACAAACTGCATAAAATACGACTTGGTGAAGTGTGTTTTTTTTCCTTCTCTGAGGCTAGCTGCCCTTAGTATTTTACTTTCTCATATTCAGTCGGTGCTGGTTCTACAGAGTCATCGTAATCTACGATTTCCTCCATCACAATTCCAGAATCGGGCGAAGACGAGCGAAGCTTTGAGAATCGCTCGCTGTTTTCTCACGGTTCAGGTTTGTTTTCTTGGCGTGTTCAGAAAATGACGTCACAATCAGAGAACAATAGCTTTGTCACTGGAACATAAATTTGTAATGGCGGACGCGAAAAACCTACATTTTCAAGCTCAATATTTTCACTTAGAGGGCGCCAAAGTTCATTTCAATGACCGAAACAGGTACAGCCACTTCTGATAAGCTGAAAAGAAAGCGTTTTTGTGACAAACTTGACATTAAATTTTGATCGTAGTAGCACTTTAACTTAGATACGGTCCTTTCGGATTTAACCCCAGAAAATGTGGCCAACATTTGACAAATTAAGTGAACTGGAATATTAAAGCTTGAAACAGTGCGAATTCACTTCATAAGTGATGTTTTCGGTTTGTTGTCATCCAGAAATTTTGCTACCATGGCAACGTGACGTATCGGCTTCTCCTCTCTACAGTATATTAAAAATACGGTTCCATTTCCAGAAAACAAGGCGGAAGTACTTTCGCTTGAAAGATCGGAGTCAGAGAATATTTTGCATTCACTTTATTTGTTTATTGAACCTTTTTACCTGACTTGAGGTACGTATAACTGAATTTATCAAAATTTTTCAAGGCAAACGTATTGTAAGGCAGCAAAATAGAGTAATTCGAGCTTATTCTATTGCTGTCGCTCAAGTCAATGTTTAATAACTTCGTTTCGAAATCATTTTGAGTTTGTGCATGAAATCTGATCGTATTGCTTTATCATTTAAACTTACGTTTAAGTTTTCAAAGACATCAAACGAATTAAGAATGCTTTGCTGTTCAGTTAGAGGCATTATTTTACGCAAATAACACTCTTAACCTGGTTGGATCGGCTTGACAAGAGAAATTTCTTTAAGTAGTTATTTTATATTTATTATACCACTCGACAACTGAATACAATTTTCAAAATACTCTGTGTCGGGTAGTCGAAATTTTCGTGTGTTACGTCTTTCACATCGGTGATTACCTCATGTAACCGTCGCTATTCCTTGTCTCCTAGGCCTAATCCCTTATCTTTCTTTGGATAATCTATCAAAAGGCGAAGACAATTTAATTGTCGGACACCAAGTATTTTGGAAATTCTGTCCGGCTGCCTTCTCAGTGCCGGTTAAAATGAAAACAAGAGATTGTAAGTGGAAGTGTTTAAAAGGATTCAGTTTAAGCAACGTAGACCATTATAAAAACCAAATTAGCTCAAATTGGGTTAGTAAACTGCATTGCGCAACTGCCGTGCAGCAACGCTGTGTTGGCTTATAAATATTCTTTCATCGCTCAGTGTAAAGCGAAAAGCCAATAAATAATATATGTATTGATGATCAGGTACTCCTTCGCTTCCAAAGTAAATTATAATGATAAAGTTCTGAATTATAAAACTGTTTAACAAATCCAATGATGTCTAAACCAAATCTAACTTGTACTGAAACTGTAAAAACGCGGATAATTTCTAAACGGTTCCAGAATAGCTTTCCAGATGACGGGTGTATTCATGAATTACTGGTCCAGTCAGCGAGTGAGTAAAATATTGTTTTTGCCTCGAGAAAATAAAATTCATATCTTCAAGCCGCCGTGTAATGCTCTTTTTATTATATAGACAAAATGACATCGATAAAATAGAAGAGGGAAATTACCGAAATTACGTCATCGATAAACTCACGTGTGAGATTATGGAAAATAAAGCATTCGGGTTTAATACTTCGTTTCAAAATCATTCTGTGAAAGAAATCCGGCTTACCGGTAATTATTTAGATGTAAGCGTTATATCAAACGAATGCTTTACTTTTCATTTGGAGAAATTATTTTACTCAATTAACATTCTACAACCTGTTCGGATTGACTTGACAAGANGGGGGGGGGGGGGGGGGGGGGGGGTACTCCTGGGAATTCTTGGTGGGGTTCTCCAAATCCTGACCCTATTTCAGACCAAAAAATGTAATTTTCCACACCCGTTTTCAGACCTGACCTTTGGGCAGATTATGTTATAATTGACTTAGATTAGAGCGAAAACAAAAAATTCTTCAAATTCATTTCCAATTCGCAAATTTCTCTTTTTTTCTTACTCATTTGGAATTAAAACGTTTACTACGTTCATACACTCCCGTAGTTCCCTCGAAAACCATACGCTATTCCAGACCAAAGGGGAGGCACATACCCATGTAGCTTGTATTACTCCCCCGGGGGATTTTCCTGTAGTTATTTTATGATTATATGTTCGGCAAATGGCGGGACGCGATTTTCAAAATACGTTGTGTCCGGTACCCGAAATTTTCGCGTGTTCAGCCTTTGATAACGGTGATTATTACTTTGTGCAAACGTCCATATTCCTTTACTCTTAGCTAATATAATACTTAACCCTTCTTAGGACAATCAACCAGAGGGAGTTGAATAGGGGTATGCAAATCCGCCGATCCGTTGTAATTTATTAACCAAATCCGCCGTTATTTCGCCTTGTGTTTCCTAATTAATTTTGAAAACCTTTCAACACATTAAAACATCATTAAACAGTATTTTTCATTGATGTTCACACTGGTATTGAACTACCCAGTTGATTCTAAAGAATTTTTTTCTCAGCGATTGCTACCGCTGTAGACCATTAAGCGGATGTTGCTTCCTTATGAGAACCACTGAATAGCTCACTCAGTGCCACAGGCAGCCCAGCACTAATGTCTGTGACATAAACGAAGTTGTGAGACCGTTTTTCTTTCTTTCTTTTCTTTTTTCGTTTTGAAACCTATCTCTTCATTAATTTGTTTAAAAAGTTGATTTTTGTAAATCTATTTTAGACAATGGCATCCAAGGGACCCGCGCAGTGTTCAATCTGCTCTGAGCGTTACAATAGCGAAAACAAATGTCCTCGGCTGCTGAGATGTGGACACAGCTTTTGCTCGAGCTGCTTGGAGAGACTACTCCATGTTAACACCATTGTTTGTCCCACATGCAGAAATCCAGGTGCTGTTCCTACTGGAGTCCAAGGTCTGTTAAAGAATTTTGCATTACTTAACATCGTGAAGAAAGCACCCAAAACCGGAAATGGAAATGCAGGCTCGCAAGATCAGTGTGAATCTTGCGACAAGAAGCACCCGGCTATTTTCTACTGCCTTGACTGCAAAGAAAAGATGTGCGAAACTGCAGCTCAGTTTCATACTCGCAACAAAGCAAGTTCTGACCATCGGATTGTTTCCCTCGAGGAGGTGAAAGCAAATCCTCAGCTGGCTGCTGTATCTCTTCACTGTCCAGAGCATAAGGATCAAGAATTCCGCTTTTTCGACCAAGATTGTGGTCATGTTATCTGTAGAGATTGCCACACCCTTGATCACGACGGGCACAAGTGTGTAACACTAGCTGAAGCTGCTTCAAAGTTCCGACAAGAGATGAAAGCACTCGTCACCAAAGCCAGTTCCCAAGCCGAGAAGATTAAAGCTGCTGAAGCTGAAGTGATGAAAGTAGCTGCCTTTATGCAGAGAACTTCCAATGAACGGTGTGCTGAAATGCAGGGCTTTTTTAGAGAAGTAAGGCATTTCTTTGTTATTTGGTCGAATGTAGCCTGTTCCAGAACAGGCTAGATCGGATGAAATTTACGCAGCAAGAGTTATCCTTAGTTAAAACTACCTCTTACAAGTATTGGCCAGCGTTTTCCCCCGATCATCTAGTAAAAAAATACACTTACCGTGGCATGCAGAAACCGGTTACTGACCTTTGAACTAGATAAGTAAGGGTAGCCTTCCTGGCACTTGAATAACTTTACTATAGTTTCGTGCCGAAAATGATAGAGTGTGTGTGCGTTTTTTAGCTTCATGCCGCACTAAATGACCGAGAGTACATTCTGATGGATAGATTGAACAGCCTTCTTCAAGACAAAGAATCCATCCTCACGAAGCAGCTCGGCTGTTTGCAAGAAAACCAAACATTTTTAAAGAATGCAGTTCAACATGCAAAGGCCTCCATCCAATCTCCAAGTGATATTCAATTCCTTCTCAGCAGGTCGGATATAGTTTCCACGCTCGAGACTAAAGAAAGCTATTCTCTGGTGCTTGAGCCAGAGGTCCAGTTTTTGCCAGAGTTTGCTAAGGAGGAAAAGGTGAGATTTCGATTACTCTAAATTTAATTCCAGCAACAATTGAAGGCCCTTCAACGCAATTTTGATTTCCATCCCGTCTGGATTTAAAGTTGCGTTCCAAAGGACTCGCAGTTGCTTAGCATCAACCAATTTGAGGTGAATTTCGGCCAGGTAATTTTTAATGATTTTTGTTAACGTTTGTTTGCTGATCAATTGGTAGTGCATGGAGAAAATATATATGGTTGATCCTTCCATCTTTAAGACGGTCCTGAAGCGAAACCACATAGCATCCACATAGCGTCCGGACACTTCTAAGTTACGTATCTTGATACGCATGCGTTGTGTAGTTCCATACAAAGAGACCACGCTTTGCGCCAAGTGGTCCCTTGCAAGAGGTAAAACACTTTGGAAAGCTATAAAGCCTTCAGGTTAAAAAATGCGGTCGCCTTATGAGAGTTTAATTAGAGGGCCTTGACTGGGTAAAATTAAATTGGTGTTTTGACGTGGTGGTCGCTTATGGGAGGTGGTCGTACATGGAGGTTCGAGTGTATGAATATAAGAGCGACGTATATCGTTTGTTTTAAAAAATTTTATTTTTATCTGACCGGTGAGTAAGTAACTATGTTAGTGCAATTGTCTCTTTTAGTCCTTTTCTGGCAAGGCGAGTTTAAAGGAAGCTATCCAGAGTGCAGGCGCTATAAGTGACAGATCAACCTGTGCAGCCATGACTTATGCATACGGCGAGGGAATAAGAGGCGCAAACCCTGGATATAAGGCGAGCTTCTGGATTGTTTCTCACGACAGCCAAAATTGTCAACGCAAACTAGGCGGCGACGTTTACGCGGTGAAGCTCAAAGCAAAGAGGGGAGGACACGAGGTTAAGGTGGATGTAAGAGACCAAAACGATGGAGAGTACTTGGCAGAATATACTATCCCTTGCAATTTATACCCTTCAGCGTGTGGTCAGTACACATTGTCTGTGTGCTTGGGTGGCTCTCACATCAAGGGCAGCCCTTTTGTTGTACGGGTTGTGTCGTCCTGGTGGTAGTAGGGGTGTGTCGCCCGGTTCTCTAAATTCTGACCTTATTTCAGACCAATATTAAAATATGTCATTATTCACACCCGTTTTCAGACCTGACCTCTAAGACATAGTCCCATCATTACTTAGATTAGAGAGAACAGCAAAAAAAGAAAAAGATTTCTTAAAATCCATTTTGTATTTGCATATTTTTCTTTCTTTCTTAGTCATTTGGAACTGAAATGATAAAAACGTTCATACACTACTGTAGTTCCCTTTTAAACCATACCCGATTCCAGACTAAAATAGGCAGTTTTTTATCAGTTTTCAGACCAAAACGCCGCAAAAACCTAGACTTTCTCAAAGTCCGTTTTCGGTTTCTGCTGCGAGCGTCCCTCCCCGCCTTTGGCGCTCACGCAGTCGACTTGTGGAAAGTCTGCAAAAAACCCTACCCTTTGGGGCGGCACAATTGGGCGGCACATACCTATATGTCTTATATAAGGGAGTACCATACCTCCGGGGGAGGGGGCGCGTATAATTATGCGGGCACAAAAATAACACTGAGACTCTCATTTAAAGTTGTAGAGAAAAATATCAGTAAAAGCAGCAGTAGTGTTCAGTCTACATATTGGCTTCTTTCTAAATTTAATGGCGTAAAACTTTATCTTTTCGTCTGAGTTACCAGGTAGGAAATTAAGTAATAGGCCAAGGGGGTATCTCGTGTGCGTTTTCGAGCGGTTGTTTTAAACAATTACCCTATTAGGATAATTCTTGATGAGGTTCGGAGATGGCTCTCGACTCGAAAATTCTAAAATCCTTTCAGTCTTAGCTCTTTGGTCTTAGTTTTGTAGGCCAGTGTAATTATCCATAGGTTAGATTGCAAGAGATTGTCAGGAGCCAAGAGATTGTTTACTTCATAGGCAAATGTGTGCTTGCCTGGGTAGATTTTTTTACCAGTAACCAATAGAAGTCTTTCGAAGTTTCAATACTCTGTGCTCGGGTTATAGATCTAGAAAAACGATCCCAGCTACATGCGGGTTATTCGATTCAACATATTCCGAAATATACTGATTTATTTAGTCGTCAGATGGCAGCTGAGATGGTTCAGTTTTACTGCCAAAACGCCAGTTGTGGCAATTTCGACTTATATTTACACTATTGTAACATCCTATTATACTTAAACTGTAGAGCAGTGGCGGATCCAGGGGAGGGGGCCGGGGGGCCCAGCCCCCCTTATTTTTAGACCAAACTAAGGCCTGAAGGGCCGAAACATATCTTTGGAGACCAGTCCCCCCACTTATCCCAGGGTCTGGGTGACCGCGCCCCCCCCCCTCCCTCCCTTATCTCAAGGTCTGGATCCGGCACTGTAGAGTGCAATACATACAGTGGAACCCGCTCTGTGGACACCGCCATTACGGACAGTTTCGTGTCTCTGTGAAAAGGTCTCAAATTTTCTCTAAAATTAGCTTGCTTTAATTCTTAAAAGGTAATGTTAGTTTGAGACCATGATAAATTATCGTGAGGATAAGAAATTAAACAACGTTTTCTAGTAAAAATGTGCTTTAGTCTTCGTATCGATAAAAAATGTAACCCTGACGTTTTTTCTGAGAGCCTGCTTTAATAATATTACAGACACTATGGCCTGTCCTCTTTTGGTGTCTCTATATACCGGGTTCCACTTTGCCAGTTCATTATAAAACTATTAAATGTATGAGGTTCACAAAACTGTTGGAGATATCATGAATTTTTCGCGGGCTAGATTTTGAGACTTTGTAACGTACAGTGAGGCAGAGAATTTGTATTTGAAATGAGTGCAAAGCAGTTGTATTTGGCGGGCAAGGTGGCTCTGAGTTTTGTAGCCTGTTCCAGGCTCCGAGTTACCGTCGGGTCCGCGAACACGTAAATTAAACGGGAGGAAACTGGGGAGAGGAAGGGCGGGCGTGCCTTTCACCAACCTCGTACCCCAGGGTGCTTTTCCCTGGCTTTGGAAGTGGGGCGCCCCACTTCCAAACCCAGGGGCAGGCTTAGGGGCTGGTTGTTTATTGCCTGTGACGGGGGTGGGGGGTTGGGGGTGGAGACATTTTAAGAAATCGTAGAAGAGGGTCTCAATGGGGTGGTAGCTTTGACGGCTGACTGTCAATTTTTTCCAATTTTGACGGTTAACGGTTAAAGTTTAGAGCTTTTGACAGTTGACCGTTATTAAGTAGAAAGATAATCCAAACGTTAAAGTACATATTAAATACTCTATGAATTAAAATGAACTTTTGTGATCTGGAGGTTGTCTTGGCCGTTCACCTGAGTGTTTTTGAGAGCATGGGAACTGGTTTTTCCAGTTTAGAAATTCTTTACAAGCTGGAATCCCGTGAAGATCAGCTAAAATAGTGAGATTTGAAATACCGTGAAACTTTTGAACGGTTAATATTGATCTGTATTTTTGACGGTTGACCCCCGTCGAAGAAGATTTCCAAATCGACCCCCCTCTTTACCCTAGCCTTTTAGAAATGAACCCCATAAATTTTACATATTGTGAGCCTTAGGTGGCGACACTTTTGTAGTTCAGCTTTAGAACTCAAAATGATGCCCTCGAGGATCTGGATCTTTTTCAGTGTATTTAGTCCAGGAACGCAGACGTTCCACTGTTTTCATTTTTCCAAGCCTTTGCTCGTTGTGGTCGAACACCTGAACGTTTATGAAAAAATAAGAACTCTTATTTGCTTCCAGGAAAATATTACCTTACTTATTTGTTACAGAATTGTCATCAGTAATGTTTATATAAGTTTCTGCAAAGAAATATATCAGCTTATAGAGATGATCGAGAGTGTTATCCAACTCTGTTTGGCGGTTACAATGCAGCGACTGTAACGCCCTGGAGATTACTGAGCATGTCACTTGAGACCGGCAAAAAGGGGGGCAAAAAGGGGGGCAATGCTTTTTATGCAAGGGAGGAGAGGGTGGGCTCATACATTTATGCACGCTTCTCAGCTTAGCTTAATTAAGGAGCTCACAAGCTCCCTACCCCCACATCTCTAAGCAATCCGTCACATGTCGCAATCTGAACGCCTAGAACAAGCTAATTTAGCCGGGAGCTGTGTTAGAACAAGGTCAAACAAGATTGCATTGACTGAATTTCAGTTAAACAATATATAGCAATAAACGTTCTAATATCCACCTGAGCAGAGATTTTATTAGACTTGCCACAAGTCGACCTAGTTCTAATCCCGAGCGAAAAACAACAACAACAAAAAAACGAGCGATAAAGCCGCGAGGTCCCCCCTTAAAAAGGCTTAACCAACCGGGAAAAAAATTTTAAAGGACTTTTAGAAAGTATAGGATTTTATCCAATATTACATAATTTTGCGTCCAATAATTGTCATCTAGCTCTTGTAAAACAGTTGGCTACCATCACTTCTGCAGCGGATCGGATCTACAAAGCAAGAAGTGTTTCAACGAGTTCCGTCCGCACTGTATGTCGAGTCCATTGAGTTATATAATTATGACGGGCGAGCTATTTAGTATTAGTCATTTATGAGAGATGTCCGCGTTGTTACAGACAATAAGTACATACCACCTTGTTGAGTCTTTCAGAAACAGGTATCGTGCCAGGAGCCCACGTACTGAGACAAGCGATTGCAAATCGCTAAATCAGTATCTTCCGCATAGGTGTAGTTTTAATGAGTCGATTGCATCAACTGCTTAACATACATTTTTTCTCCAGCCAGAGTCACTAGTTGCTAATATCTCTCCAGATGCACCTGGGTAACCATCCAACTACCCTCCCCCCCCCCCCCCCCCCCAAAAAAAGGGAAAGGGGCCCCCCCCCCCCCCTTTTCCTTAACCAGGTGGGCTTCTGTTTTTGTTTGGCCTTTAGGGGGGAGGTGGTGTTGGGAGTAAAGTTGGTTTTTTAAAAGGATGTTATAGTACTCTATTTCTCCTTTTTTTTCTTTTAAAGTGA